CTGAATGTCGGCCAGTCTGACCCCAGCGACACGGGGGCTGCTGAAATTAAAGTTAAAAAAATATCTGACAATCCCAAGGGACACTGTGTTACTACTGTATTACGGTTTTGAAAAGAAGAAAAAAAGTATCTTTCAGTTCTTCTTTAGAAACCAGTCCACCGGACTTGAACAAACACGTATTTTGGAAAACAATGGCCCAGTTCTTGAAAATAAAATGAACAATATGTAGTCGAGAGTGGTTTACGGGAAGCTGTATTGTTTATTCTTTGGAACAAAACTAAAGAATAAATCCACCAACAAAGGGATAATGGTGGAATTTGTTTTTGTATATAGTGTGTGTATATATACATGCCTTTTTATAGCCAGTCAAACTCCATTTGACTTTCAAAATGTTGCTAACAAAAGTGATTTAACTATAACGAGAAAGGTTTTATTTCATTTGGAATGTTTAAGCAGCCGTGTGAGCAACCACTTGCTCACACCACTGCTGGCGGTAGAGGTCTCCACAAGTGGCAGCTCTAGAGAGGGCATTTGGTTTGGCCTACTCTTCCACGCTACCCAGATGACTTGGGACAATGAACGCACTTGTACTGCATGAAAAATAAGAATAGGTTTAACCCTTTCTGGCAATAAAGCAGCAGGTGTTAAGATGGTCAAACACCAAATAAAAACCTTTTTGCAGGGAATAAAGTTTACTGCATTAACTGCACGTACTTGTGGTGAACATTCAAACAAACATGCTCTGATAATAAATGCAGTTTTCTCTGTGTGCCTATGTGTGCGTCTCTCTCTGTGTGTCTCTGTGTTATCTCTCTCTGCTTATGTGTCTGTCTGTGTGTCTCCGTGTCTGTGTTTTGTCTCTCTCTCAAATTTAGCAATCTTTGGAAGAACGTAATCAACCAGGTGACTGTTATGTTAGCCGACTCTCTGTGTTGTATTGCTTTAGATTTCTAAGTTTACTGGGTTTGCTTTCTCTTTCATTTGTACCTGATGATGATGATGATTGCTTGTTTTGCAATCGGAACCTCGTATGCTATTATTTAATTTATTTTTCTTTCTACGTGACTTTACCGAAAGAACCAAAGAGTGATAAATGCAGTCTTTGAAACTGATTGGCCTACACCAGAGACAGCCTTCTTTGTCACCTTGCCTCACCAGTGTCAGACCACAGAACGCCAAGAGGCGAACAGCACAAAGACAATGCACGCACTGCATCTGTCCGAGCTATAAATCAGAGCATTTATAGCTCGGACAGATGCAGGGATTTTAGAAATTGGCACCGTTGGTTCATCTGCCACGCCGAGAGATGGCATTGAACCGGCGACCTATGGATTGCAAGTCCAGTGCGTTGACCATTACACAGCGGCAACATCTTCCTTATAATTGATCGACGACTGTAACATTTGCCGTCTTCTTTCCCTTCATGAACGTCAAGAAGAATACAAAATCGGTTTAAAAGATGTTGACTGATTTGTTGAAATATATTTCGCACCATGAATGAGTTTTCGCGTAAATTGTATCGCTCGGTGTATTAAAGGCTTCACACCTTCACACTGCGTTTGCAATCGTCACCTGTACTCCAGGTTGCAATGGGCTCTTACCTGGCTTCGGTTGATTTGAGAAACATGAACCAATTACATAGAACATATGTGGATGTAAAAAGAGTCATGTTTTGATTTTATACTAATCTATTCATCAATGCATCGTTACTGCAGGACAGTGCAATACACCTCTCATCCGCGATATTATCCACAAATTTACTTCACTTATCGATGAAAATCAATATTGGTTGTTGCGGATAAAAGGATTAATTTGCTTATGAACACCACTTATCCGTGAACAATTTTACGGTTAATAGGACTAATGATGCAAGTTCCAGAAGTGCATACCAGGAAAGGGGGCAGGACCAGACCCACACGGATAATCGTATGAATCTGCCCCTTCAACTTCACTTATCCACAAACATTCCGGCGAATAACAGGAAGACGTTGAACGTAATTCTGCCTTTGAAAAAGAAAATGCGGACAATCGCGGATAATTTAAGATTGGGGTCGTGGATAATATGCACGTATGTATGTTGAACTTCGTTCACACCGTACGTATCTAACCGTGCAAATCGGAGGTGACGAATAGGAGCTGTCGCGGGCCCCCCTGATAGGGCTGTGAGGAAGTGAAGTTAGGCGAGTTCACGGATAAGTGGAGTTGCACGGGGTAGGAGTGGCAGGGGGGGGGGGGGGTGAAAAAAACAGATGAACAGCATCATGTAACTCAACACTGGTGCCCCTGCATTCATGCCATAGGCGTGTATTGTTGGGAGATCTCGTTTTAATAACAATGATAATATGGCTCAGGGCTAATGAAATGAGACACCCGCGTGTGCATGGCACACGTTACGCATCCATATTTGCACTCACGCGATGGTGACGTCGTATGGCCGGGCACATAAACGTTTTTGCTGGCTTAGCGTAAACAGAGGGAATAAAAAACACATCTCACATTCGTCAATAACAAGGGGCTTTTAAACGAAAATGTATAATAGGCGACAGTTTCGAGCAACGGCCCTCCTTAAACAAATCACTCTTCAATATCGGTGGCGTTTAACATAATATTCATAATTTACACCCTTTGCCGATGCATCCAGCCGTCTCACGGCCATGGGAGTTAGTTGACCGGTCAGTGTGGTTCGGTGAAGGAGGGCAGCCCGGCCTCCGTTCACATATCAGATTTATAACTCGCCGCTGATGTGAGCCGTGGACACGAAATCAAAACTCGGATGGGGAGGGGGCCCGGTTTTACACCATTGAGCAACAGCTCTAGCCGATATATTTACCAACATTGTTTTTTTTAAATACTCTTTTATAAGCGCACAACTTTATCTATCTGTGATAAACGCTGCACTTTCCGTCGTTTTCATGCAGGGGGCGCTGCAATCCTACGCGCCCACTGCATGAACGATGGAGGCGCAAGACAGACGTTTGATTACGTTGGAATCGATCTGCAGACGGCGGTCTTCTCGCACGGCCAGCTCTGTCACCTTATCTCGATCCCGCAATCCCAAACAGGTGAAAGTCCGCATCGAACCGAACCCCCGGCAAGGCCATCTACTTAACGACGAGAGAAAATTCACACGAAATGTCGTTTTCAATTAAGTCTTCCAGATGTAAAATGATAAAAGCTTTTAATGAAGAAATAAAATTATCTAATTCAAAACATAATTCAATTAAAAGATGTTTCATTTTAAAACTTCTAAACGGAGCATCGGGTGCTTGCGTGAATGCGTCGTGCGCGTGCAATTTTCTTGTGACTATAAAACATTAACTCAATCTAAAATCTAAAATACGTGGCGGTATCACAGTTTGCCACGAGCTTGACACAAAACGTGCTGCTGTTAATGAAGATACGTCCTTCGGATTGCGTGTGACAACCCGGGGTCCCTTCACTCGATCAGACACCGGCCCTTGTACCGACACCTGAGTTGTTACCCACGCCATTGTGGCGTCACAGGCGTGAGCTGGTGTGCATGTGGGGTGGTGGGGGGGCAGTGGTTTGCGCCACTGAACCACCTGGGTTCACCACGGCCACGGCTAACGTCGGTGGCGAATATCTGAAACGGGTCCTGGGTCTCCCGCAGGTCGACTCAGCCTCAAATGAGCACCTGATGCCAGTGCTGGATTGAGCTAGTGCGAGGCCTGTAGCAAATGGTATAAAGGGGCCATAAATACAAATATTTATATTAAAACACATTTTTTACTTGCATAGTAAAGCAATTGCATTTTTTCATTTACTATACAGCGAGATAATATGACAAATCGCTAACCTTAAACACCCAGTCGTTCATAAAAGTTGAAGGCAGTATAGTACTATAGTAATAGAGCAAACGCAGAATCACTGAACAGGAATTCATGGTTGCTTGTGTTGCAATCGAAACGTCGTGATTTAATTTCTTTATTTTCTTTATTTTTATTTCTTCACCTACGTGACTTTAACGAAAGAACCAAAGAATATGGATCCTTGCAGTCACGAAAATTTCAAATCTAGAAGGAATTCATAGCTTTAAAGCATTTAGCGCGGGGCCCTTGAAAGTGTGGGGCCCTTGAAAGTGCGGGGCCCGTAGCATATGCAGCTACTTTTGCTACTAGGAGAATCCAGCACTGCCTGATGTGTGAACGATAACAACCCCCCCCCCCCCATCAGAAGTGGGGAGACAAAGACGGCCGACTGTGGTTGCGCCGTGTCGGCCACAATAGGTTCTCGCTAACAGCACTTGCAGCAATCGGAATCTGTATTCATACTGGAGGAATCCGATGAGCTATAAAGCTCTTGTTCGCAGTTGGCTATGCAGGTTAGGGGATTTTTGGTAGAATATTTAACACCGGTGGCGAGGTATGTTTAACGTTTCCCAAACACACGGTGGGGATATCCCGGGTGAGATCAGCCAGAGCAGAATACCGGTAGCTACACGACAGACCAAAAAAACAAACTCAACTACTCTACTTTTGTTACTTTACAAGGCAAGCTCTTTTTTCCAGAAGCGACTTGCCAACAAATGGTAACTCAAGGAAGTGGCTTATCATCACGTAGAAATATAAAGCGGCCAAATAACTCCTAAACGCATGTTGATCTCAACGTGGAGCGAGAAGAGAGAGAGAGGCGCGCAAACTCCAAATATACAGCAGCAGGTCATCAGCTTCGGGATCGAACCCACGGACCTCGTGCGTACCAGGCGAGGTGGTTAACATCTCGCCGCAAAAAGCAGGTTGCGACGTTTACCCGTTCCGCAAATATTTGTTGTCGCCGTGCCCCTCGCCACCTGACTTTGTGCATGTGACCCCCCCAAAACACCGCCAGGGCTCCCATTGACCAGAGCTGGCACGCACGTGCGTCCGCGTGCGTGCGCGTGCGCCTCCGTGCGCGTGCGTGCGCCTCCGTGCGCGTGCGTCCGCGTGCGTCCGTGCGCGTGCATCCGTGTGCGTGCGTCAGCGTGCGTGCGCGCTACATACCTCTGGCGTTTCCCTGAGTGGGCAGCTGTGCTCTCTCTCCAGCAGCCCGATGCCCCGCTTGCCTCCCGTGTAGTGGGGGCAGTCCTTGGCCACCATGGTTGGGAATTGACGAGAGGGCGACGAGGGGGTTGAGAACGGTCACCTCCTTTTGTTGGCTTTGCCAAACGCAAATCTAGCCCCCCTACCCCACCCCCACCCCCCAACTCAACCACTCAGCCTTCTCTTGGCGTACTCACATATAGAACTAACTCCTCTTCACCTTAGAGATGTCCCCTATTGTTCGTCCTTCGTGTCGCACTCATTCCCGATTGCCAGTTGGCACGAGCTCAGCACAACAAAGTCCAATCGGCTCAATGCCCTCTCTACTAACCACGTGCCAAATCTCAGACTCGATGTCCTCGTTAATGTTGCTTGCTGGCTTGCCCCCCGCTGTTAACAGCTTCTCAGCCACCTCCTTCCCACGAGCACTGCCTCTCGCTGAATGTCTGCCTCTTTTTTAAGTTTTGATCTGTGACTCTTAGGGGTTTGGAGGAGCTTGCGTGGGCGTCCTGTGTGGGAGGTGCTTTCTGGCCGGATTGGTGAATTGTTCGTTGTGAAACACGCCCTGTCAGATCAGGCAACCAATTGGGGCTTCATCCACACACAGAGAGACGGCTGCACGTCTATCCTGTCATTCTAAAGAAAAACCAGGGGGTGGCTAAATGGTGGCTTGAGACGTTGGATGTGGTGAAACCTTGGCCCGCATCCCATCATTATGCATCTTTGCCGAAAAGGACTTCGTTGTTCCGTGCGTAGAAGTTACCTTAGACGTGAAGTTGGTGTCGTCTCGTTTATCAAGTCAGATGCCATTGATATTAAATTTAGAAACCAGTTGCTTAGCATGCAAATGCTGTGTTGGTAAAACAAAAAATGTTGCTTCTTTTTTTCGCCAGATAATTTCAGTTTTGGGAAGAAACGTCGGTGCAGTGTTTGGCACACTTAGCTGGCGATCTGAACTTGCTATTATTTCAAATTAAATGTTTTAAAATATATTGCTTGTGGTTGCATCGGTGTTTTTTTTGTATTGATTGTTCAAAGCGTTGAATGACAAACAACTCCAGGAACAGGTAATTGGTTCAGAATTTTTTTTTATAGGATAAGTATCAGCTGCTTGACCACGCCGAGACCGATTACAATCCGTAACAGTGTGCTCTACACTCTATGCAAAGCATTCCACGTCGCCCTTGAAAAAAAACACAGCGCAATGAGCTATACTTGGGAAAATAAACTTTTACATATCTGAACAATAAAATCTCTAAAAGCTGTTGCCCAATAAATCCAATTCAAAAAGGTAACTCAAGCAATTGTTTCTACATTCGATTGAAAATATTCATTTGCGCCAACAGCATTCGTGATGTCACTTCGAAAATAGTTCCAGAGGCGCAGAAAATGAAAGCTCAAGGCCTTTGACCCTCCTGATTTTACAGGACTTCTAGGACCTACCAATTCTTCTTGGTTCTTTCGGTAAAGTCACGTAGAATGGAAATAATACAAAAATAATATATTTTAAAACATAATATATTTTATTATGTTTTAGTTTTATTTTATTATTTCCATTCTACGTGACTTTACCGAAAGAACCAAGAAGATGAATCCCTGCAGTCACGAAAGCTTTAAATCGTCCTACCAATTGTTCAGTATTCGCTGATTCCTTGAGGCAGTGGTTCTTACCAGAGGTGCACGCACCAACTGGGGGTGCGAGATGCCCTTTCTGGGGGCGCGTTAGACGTGGCCAGATTTTTTTCCAAGGTAAATCATCGAAACACAAATTAAACACGGGCACATTATTTTTTTCAAATTACAATTGAGAACCAAAGGGGTGCAAGGCTGCAGTAACGGTTATTAAGAACCACTGCCTTGAGGCATAGCTTGGTGTGGTATGCTGCGAAGATCGGGCAACTCGGGAGTGAGTTCCGTAAGGTGAGAGACCGGTTGAGAAGCGCCGCTCTCAAAGAAGCCACAAAACTCCAACCGGAGCAGCGTTAAATTTCGATTTAAAGCTTTCATGACTGCAGGGATTCATCTTCTTGGTTCTTTCGGTAAAGTATTTCCCTTCTAAGTGACTTTACCGAAGAACCAAGAAGATGAATCCCTGCAGTCACGAAAGCTTTAAATCGTGAGAATTATATTATATAATTTGATTATATTATTTTATTATGTTTTATTTTTATTATTTTATTATTTCCCTTCTACGTGACTTTACCAAAAGAACCAAGAAGACGGAGCAGTGTTCACGCTCTAACTGAGCAACCCTCGGTAGGGCGAGGTGCACGCCTTGCATAGGACGTTTGAGATGTGGTTACGAAGATGAGAAAACGCAAGAAAATTCGTCAATAACACTGGCCGAAGGAGAAAACGTATTTCATAGGCGACGTCTCAGGCTTTGGTGAAGAAGGGTCGTTGCTCAAAACGTCGCCTATATTTATTTTCTCTCCGCCTGATGAAGACTACTTGTGTTGCGATGGAAACGTCGTGGTTTTTTTTAATTTATTTGTAATTTTATTTTACTATTTTTATCGTGTTTTTTTCCTTTTATTATTTTCTACTTATTATTTTTATTTTGTATTAAAAATGTATTTTTTATCTACGTGACTTTACTGAAAGAACCAAGAATACAAGGCAGTGTTATTGACGAATGTGCTTTTGTTGTTGCTATTGTTAATTGTGCACCGCTGCCAACGCAGCTGTAGCAGCAGCATGACCACCAACTTATTTTCTTAAAACGAACAAGTGTGCTCAATGACCATTGTAAATTAGTAATTTTTGTGCGGTTGCAATTTTAGATCTACAGAGAGCATGTACTTACTTATCTGCTGTATGGAATTCCGTTAAACCCGTGCTCTTGATCGCCACAATCATCCACGTGATTTGCTGGGCCTCCAGCTGTGTCTTGCAACCATTATTTATTTATTTTACAAAAGCACAAACTCTTCAAGCCCATGAGCATCATCCTCCGTTTTTCGGATTTTAAGAATCAGTCTTCCGCCTCTGCTTCACGATTGTGATCTGGTTTAACATTTTACAGTGCACGTGATTTTTGTTTGAAGTGTTTAAGAAAATTAATAGAAGTACATTTTAAATTATTAAAATGTTTCGATGAAACGTATTACATGTTAAGTTAATGTAATGAAACGTAACTCTTTAGGAAGTATTTTCAGTATGAAGGACATTCCTCTGTGACTAGGCCGGCTTCAGGAGCTTCTGATGAACTCAGAACACGGGTTTTGCATTGCAACAATTTAATTCGGCTTTGCGTTTTTAAATGTTTAAGGTCCAATAAAATGTTTTTTATCTTTTCGGATAAAGATATTTAAATGCAGTTACTTTCTTTATTTATAGCCATTGTAATGTTAAACAAAAATTGCCATATTTATGAATTCACATGTTATTCACTTTGGTCATTTTGCGTTCCCATAATAAACGTTTAAAAAATTATATTTAAATGTACATAAACTTTAATCTCTCGGAAGTAATTTTACATTCACACGCAACTTTTGTTGCTATACCATTTAACACTCTTTTAAGTACTTTTGACTAAATAGTAATAATTTAAAATAATTTTACAACAAATATTATTACAACGACATTTATCTACAAAGACATTTCATTGCAGCACACTTTTTAAGGTGTGTCCTGCATCGCAAACTCCATGTCCAAATCGTTATTTCTTTCGATCCCGGCTCTGCTCTTGCGAAGTTAAATGTCCGTGTGCGGCGGACGGTGGAGCAGGCCCACGTCCGCCGTCATCGGCGAGACGGAGGAGGGAGGGGAGTTGCGGAGGCGACGTAGCTCTGCCCGCCGCAGAATCTCCCGCACGATAAAGCGCTCGCGACGTGCGCAGGCGCGCACGTGGGATGGCGTGTCCGGGATGACGTGGGCGATGAAGGCCTTTGTGAAGAATATCAGGTGCTGCGAATGCATCCACGGCGCAAGCAAAGGATTTTCAGTTTCAGGATTTGCATGCGCTGTATAGAGGCGCTTGTTCAATGCCTCAGCAACTGAAAGCGCCTTATACGTCACTACTCATCTCAGCCACTCAAATGCCCTGCTGCAGTCGAGCCAAGGTGACCCCCATGACAGCTGTCCCTGCATGATACAAGGTGTATGCAGGACCCGCCTCCAAACATTAGTCTGCCAGTAGGATTCGCACCTCCGATTAGCACGGTTGGCTACGTATGGTACGAAAGAAGTTCAATATACATAAACACAGGAGTCGATGTTGCTTGGTGTTTTATTTTTACAATTAACTACTTTGTGAATAAGATATTAAACTTGGCAAATTTAGACCGCATTCCGAACAGGATCCTTGCGAAAGAGTTCCGGAGACCCACAGTGACTCTTTTGGACGAGATAAATACGTTGTATTGTATTACCACAATTATCTGTGATCTTGGAAAACATGATGCAATGGGCGAGGTGTGAAAGCATCAGTGGCATTTTCTGTGATGACCTCATGACGCTGACAATAAGTTGCTCTGCTGACCTTAAGAAGTGCTCACGATGAAGCTTGCAGGATGTTGTCCGTGGTGCAATGGCTTTACACACTCGACTTGCAATACAGAGGTCACCGGTGTCAGTTTGATCTCTTGGCGATTTAGTGGAAACAATGAGCAAGCTTCTTGAATCCCCCCAGCCTCTGTCCAGTCCCCCCACCCCCAGCAGGGATAGATGGGTGCACCCTAAGCCAGGGGTCGACAACCTGCGGTTCAGGAGGCGTATGCAACTCTTTAAGCACTGCATTGCGGCTCTTGAAATATTGATTTTTGTTTTATCGAATTAAAAAAAATGGCTCTTTTTGTTATTTTGGTTGCCGACCCCTGCCCTGGGCAGTCGATCAGGAGGCTGGGGTACATCGTAGGCACTCCCACATGATGTCAAATACAATTGGGAGCGTCTCTCTCGCGCGCCCTCTCATGGAGGGGGCGGTGCAGTGGCGAGATGTTAACTCCCTCGCCTGGAATGCAGGTGGTTGTTGGTGCGATCCCGACCCTAACGCCTGCTGGATATTTGGAGTTTGCATGTTCTCCCTGTGGTCACAAGGATTTGTCTCCGCATCCTCCGGTGTTTCCCTCCACATTTAGAAACGTGCGTTTAGAGTATTTGGCTGCTGTAAATTTCCACATGATTAGCCACTTCGTTGTGCTATCATTTGTGGGCAGGTCGCTTCTGAAAAACAGCTATATAGCTCAGTGGACCTTACCTGGTAATAGTTAAGAGTGACATGAGGAAGGAATTTCATGGCTACAACTTTGCCTTGTAATGTACATATGCATGTGTACGAATACGTGAGTGCATGCAGATACGTACCTCCACAACGATGACAAAGGCCAGCTTTGCCGCCAGTATGTGCCAGTACAGCGTGGTGACGGAGTACGCCTGGGGATGATCTGGCGGGTAGCGATATCCTCTGTATCTGCGCACGTGTAATGACACCACAAGCACGCACGGGCTGTCCTGAGCAACGTGCATAGCAAGTAGAATTGGCACTAATTCAACAAGCATGGGTACGTACGTAGGACCGTTCACAGTCTGTTTGTCAGTCTGCTTCTGGATGACTGCCTTCCTACACCATAGAGGTTGTGGGGGTTATTCTGATCATGCTTCACGTTGGTCAGTTTGGGCTGGTGAAGGCAAGGAATATAGATAGTCGAGTACAACAACTGATTTTGCTACAATACAGTCTGCCGACAATGCAGTCACGTGCAACACCTGTGGTCACCAATCCAGGCACGATCCACACTCATGAAGCCTGCTCAGCTGCTGGGATCTGTGGCAATCAGGTGCATTTTGAGTGCTACGGTTATGTGCGAGCATGGCTATATTATACATTGAGCGAATATGGTTATATTGGGTATACTGATAAAAAAAAATTAGCAATTGGCAAAATTTCCCAATGCAGGACCTTCCTGAAAAAGCATCTTTGGACTCAAAGAGGCCCTCCTGGATAAATAAATAAAATAACACATTAGCAAGGTGTCCTTCAGCTAGAATTCATTAAAAATATATATTTAACAGTTTGTATGGTCATACATGGAGTCATTGTTACGCACGTCACAAATAAGACAGCATCACTGAGCTGGCTGTCATATGGAGGATGGTGTTACATTGAGCAATTACATCAAATCAACCATATCACACACAACAAGCAAAAGATCACACCCAGGAGGACAGCACGCCCAGAAGGAAAGATGTCACGTCGACTAGGACACCACACCCAGAATGATGTCACATCCACTCAGAATCTTTATTTATACTGGAGGAATCCGATGTGTTATAAAGCTCTTTTTTTTTTTTACAGATGTCCAGTATCCACTCAGACACCACACCCAGAATGATGTCACATCCACTCAGAATCTTTATTTATACTGGAGGAATCCGATGTGTTATAAAGCTCTTTTTTTTTTTTACAGATGTCCAGTATCCACTCAGACACCACACCCAGAATGATGTCACATCCACTCAGAATCTTTATTTATACTGGAGGAATCCGATGTGCTATAAAGCTCTTTTTTTTTTTTACAGATGTCCAGTATCCACTCAGACACCACACCCAGAATGATGTCACATCCACTCAGAATCTTTATTTATACTGGAGGAATCCGATGTGTTATAAAGCTCTTTTTTTTTTTTACAGATGTCCAGTATCCACTCAGACACCACACCCAGAATGATGTCACATCTACTACAACACCACACCCGTAAGGATCGCACATCTGTTAGGCAGCATACCCAGAAATCCGGGCATCACATCCACTAGGAGAGCACCACCCCCACCCGAAATGAGAGTATTGCATTCAGCTGCACAAACCTGCACACTCTGTGGATTGTCGGGTCAAACCAGGGTGGCAGATTGTCGGGACGACTTCGCTCCTGCAAGTTGCTGATGTTGAATATGGACAGGCTGTTGTCAGTGTACCGGTGCACGGTAGGCGAACCTTCGCCGTGCCCTGCCGAGTAGCCGTAGTGGTGCAACAACCGTGGGATGATGTCCGACGTGAAGGCCACGATGCATGCCTATGGTATTCGCCCACAGACACGGAGCGGTAGCGGTCAATAAGCATGCACAGTGATTACACCACCGGTCCCCAACATCCACTCACTCCCCAAACTGTCCTGAGTAATTGCAAGAATTGTCACAAGTACAATTTTGGGGGATGCTGTCATGGCGTAATGCTTAGCGCAATGACTGGCGATCCAACAGTCATCATAATAGACGTTTTTGGGTTAGATCACGTTATTTATAAATGTGTCGTAACCCTCCACCACCCGACACGGCCAATCAGTAAAAAAGTGTCACGTTGACAAAAGACAAGTAGTTCACTACTTTAGCCCACCGGTGTGTTGAAGAGTGAATCCACAACATTTACAATTTTTTAGTAGCAGGGTGACCGGGAGCAAGTGAGGGCTTCACTATTCTGGCAAATTGCCCGATGATGCTGGATGTAATTACCAGCGAAACGTTGTACTCAAAAATTGTAAATGTTGTGGATTCACTCTTCAACACACCGGTGGGCTAAAGTAGTGAACTATTTGTCTTTTGTCAACGTGACACTTTTTTACTGATTGGCCGTGTCGGGTGGTGGAGGGTTATGACACATTTATAAATAACGCGATCTAAACCAAAAACGTTTATTATGAATAATATTGGTCGCGAAAGCCTACGTGTCAAACCAACAGTCATCAGTTCAATCTCATGCAACAGTTGAAGCGATGGGTCGTTTTGTTAAACCACCCCAGCCTTTGGCCGCCCGATAGTACAAATAGGCTAGTTATAGTCTGGGTACTCCCACGTTTAACACATCTGGTCGGCGTGGAATAGTAGGCCAAATATCTTGTAGAGGGGCTCTCTAGCGCTACCTCTATTTGTGACCCTTCCGCCAACAGTGGCACGAGCAACCAATCACAGGGCTCAAACTTTACCAGTCACAACGTGGGGTGGGTGGGATGGGGTGGGGGGAGTGGTGGTGCAATGATTTGCACACTGTGCTTTGAACTCAGCCACCTGTGTTCAATTTCCAGCTACGGCTAATGTCAGTGGAGGGTGATATCTTAGCCAGTCCTGGTCCCCATTCCAGCCCTTCGCCAAACCGTATCAATATCTCGCCACGGTGGCGATATGTTAACTACCTCGCCTGGTATACAGGAGGTGGCGGATTGGATCCTGACCCTGATACCTGCTGTATATTTGGAGTGGGTGTGTTCTCCCCGTGGTCGCGTGGATTTTTCCTCTGGGTTCTCCGGTTTTCCTTCCACATTCAGAATCAAGATACGTTTAGGGTATTTGGCTGCTATAAATGTCCATGTGATAAGCCTTTCGTTGAGCTATCATTTGTGGCCAGGTCGCTTCTGAAAAAGTGCTATATTGTATGGCTCAGGAGGCCTTACCTGGTACAACAAAACATGGTTTAGTTTTAGTTTACTATTGACCAGCGTGAAATATGGTCAAAGAACCCCCACGACTGACACAGCATGTTACACCACTCTCCAGATGGGAGCGGCGAGTGAGGGAGCTGACAATCTGGTGATTTTACGTTGGTCATGACGGACAGGGTGGCAACGATGCCCAGGATGTCTGCCCAGGCACCGATTCCACTCGCTCGTGACACCACAGGCCTCCGCATCTTTGTCACAAATTTCCAGGCGTCGACTCGCACTTCAACGATGTTGTTCAGGAGTGCGAGCAGTGGCGCAAGTGGGAACGACGCCACGAAGAGCGTGACGAAGCCGAACTGTATCACTGCGGAAATTTGGGGGTAGGGACAGGCGGGGAGAGAATAGGACGTTGGGGAAAACAGGGTACACACACATACATACACTGTTATTGCTCTGATGCGGGAATAATTATAAGTAACCCAACATTTTTTGACAATTATTTGAATGTGTTTTAGTCAAAGGAACACCCCCTCCCCCCAGATATGTTAGGGAGCTCTTCTGGGCCAGATGGTGGTGGGAGTCAGGCTTTAGAGTATTGATATTACTTGTTGTAGGCTGCAGCATTGTGGAGAACAGAGGTCAGTGCAGCAAAATCCGTTGTATTGTGCATACGGCATAGTATTCTTTCACGTCCGTGCTCCCTGCCTTTACCAACCAGAAACACGGGTCAGATGACTCAAACCCGCACAGCAGATTGACAAAGAGCTGTACGTATACTGTCCAATAAAATTACGCCCAATTGTTTAGTGTTTTTACCCAAACAAATAACAATGCACCGCTGACTGAGCAGTGCGATCCCCCTGAGTTGGTCATACCCATCTCGAGGTACTCGTCGAAGAGTCCGAGCGAACTCTGCAGCTGCAGGCCCATGTCCTGCTCCCAGCGCGTGTGGACATTCTGAGGCCCTTTCTTGGCCCGACACTTGGCCAACCAACTGCTGAACCACCTGGGGATTGGTGGGAAGTAGGGGGGGGGGGGGGATGCGCACTCAGACACGCAGATGAACGCCCGTAGTACGCACGGACACATTTAATCATCAACTTGAGGTTGTCTGTTTAACCCTTCCTCGTTCCGATGACGTACACATGTACGTCGTCAAAACGAAACCGGAATAAAAAACCGAGGCTCTCACAAGGCCATGCGGAAGGGAGGGCGTGCAGCACGTTTCGGCGCCAGTTATCATAGAGTTGTGGTCGTGTCACTACCGTTCTCTGCAGTGAGTTCAATGTCTTTAAATACAACGGCGCTACGCCTCTCTAAATAAAATTAACACGGAGCCGCTTGTGCGCTCTGAGATTCAGAGGTGAACGGGACACCACACTGCAACTTGTAGACGTCTCGAAATGATAAAAGGGTTAAGAGCTCTCGAATGTGTTTCCGGGGTTGTACCACAGGAAGATCCCAGCATGTCGAGCGAAACATCAGACATCGTGCTGGACAACATGCGGTGCAACACGAAAAAACACACCAGAGAGTGAGACAGAACAACGCTTAAACCTACACAGCAGCTGTCAGTCATGGACGTTGCTTGTCTAAAATTATTGAGTTTAACACGTAGGCTTTCGCGACCAATATTATTCATAATCAACGTTTTTGGGTTTAGATCGCGTTATTTATAAATGTGTCGTAACCCTCCACCACCCGACACGGCCAATCAGTCAATTCTGGCGAATTGCCCGATGATGCTGGATGCAATTACCAGCGAAACGTCGTACTCAAAAATTGTAAATGTTGTGGTATCACGCTTCAACACACCGGTGGGTTAAAGCAGTGAACTATTTGTCTTTTGTCAACGTGACACTTTTTACTGATTGGCGTGTTGGGTGGTGGAGGGTTACGACACATTTATAAATAACGCGATCTAACCCAAAAACGTTGATTATGAATACAATTATTGAACTGCCCGACTGAAACTTGATGCAGAAATAGCCCAAGGTGAACTTTGTAGGAACAGTTGACTGCGGTGTTAACTGCTCACCTGGTATGGAGCAGTGCCACAGTGGTTTGTGCACAGTGCTCAGAACGGTCTACCTCAGTTTGATTCCCAGCTCTGGCTAACATCAGTGGCGAGTGGTGTCTGAATCAGTCCTTGGGCTCCGTTTCACCAACACATCAAGTTCAAGTTTATTTATTAGGTATAGCCCTGTGAGCCATTCGGCTCTTGAATCGGGTGCATAAAACAAAAACATGAACATGAAAACATCTTAAAGTGACTATGTGACTATGTGCAAACAGAAAATCCAAGAAAAGACAGCAAAATATTGCAGAAAAAGCACCGTACACCAACGCTGTGTGCAAAAGTCCCAGTGGGATGCAAGTCAAACAACAACCAAAAGGCAACTTAGATTAAGGCCATCAGTCTGACCATAGTGGTGAAGTATGGTCAAATTAACCCCATTACTCCGCATGGCATGGGAAGCCTCTTAGTCATATATATATTACCCAATATGCACTTGCAAGATGATGCACAGACACAAACACGTGTATGCTGAGCAGGTGTGTGTGTTTCCTAATTTGGTTCCTGGCCTCGGTGAACATCCCGATTCCCGCCTGCGGCTGACACAACGATCATTATTAGAACCAGCCCCGAGCCTCTCCCAGGTCAACTTAGCACCTGGTACGGTGTGTAAACATCAGGACTGGGGAGACACAGGCGGCCAAGTCTGGTGCTGGCCACACCACCCCCTCACTAGCCGTGCTCGCCTTCATTAGGTGCTCGCTAACAGCACTTGCCTCAACAGCCTGTGCACGCTACATGGGGGATCGTTGTCTTATGCTTTCCTAGAACTGGGATGATTAGATGATTCATTTGATTGTTCAACTCAGTAGTCGTTCTGACAGTGCTTCCCGAAGGGAGGGAGCCCTCTGAACGCCAAGTCCAGGGGGTGTCTTGGCTCATGTCAGAATCCACTGCCATTAGCTCCCATCCAGTGGCAGCCAAGGGAACAGAGATAAGATTTGTTTTTACAACTTTTGTCATATTTTCCAAATTATTTCAGTAATGGAAGGCATAACCTGCACTTTCGTCTCAGCTTTTTCGCTGAATACGGCGTGTTACAAATCTTGGATTGATTGATCTATCGAGTGATGTCGTATAAAATCAGATTTTCCAGCTGAAGTGTGTTTGCACGCAACTTACGGGACGATGACCTCCTGGACATTGCCAATGATCTGCTTCATTCCCATCACGGCAGTGAGCTGACTGGTCAGCTCAAAGAGACAACCAGCTGGGGGACACTAGAGGGGGGGGGGGGGGGTTGGGGTGGAGAGTTGACTTAGAGCAACATTGAAGGTCTTCTTGGTTCTTTCGGTAAAGTCACGTAGAAGGGAAATAATAAAATAATAAAAATAAAACATAATAAAATACAATTCTCACGACGTTTCGGCCACAACGCAAGCAGCCGTCCTCAGGTGAAGAAGCTGAGGAGAAGAACCTGCGGACGGCTGCTTGCGTTGTGGCTGAAACGTCGTGAGAATTGTATTTTATTATGTTTTATTTTTATTCTTTTATTATTTCCCTTCTACGTGACTTTACAGAAAGAACCAAGAAGATGAATCCCTGCAGTCACGAAAGCTTTAAATCGAAATTTAACATTGAAGGTATTCACCCATTTCCCATTCCGAGACGTCTGAAAGTTGCAGGGTGGGTGTCCCGTTCACCGCGGAATCTCGAAACGCGCAAGCGGTTTAGCATTAATTTTATTTGGAGAGGCATAGCGCCGTTGATTTTCAAGACACCGTGCTCACCGCAGAGAACCGTAGAGACACGACTGCAGTCTATAATAGCTGGCGCCATACTGTGCGACGCCTTCCCGCATAGCCTTGTGGGAGCCTCGGTACCGATAAAGTAAAAACTGATGAGGTACACGTACGTCATCGGAACGGGAAAGGGTCAAATACAGGGAGGTCCACATTAGGATACCCAACAGACGTTGATGACCCTCTCACTTTCTTTTCAACATATAATTGAATATTTAAAAAGTGATGGCCTTAGCAATACATTTTTTAAAAAACGTTTCAACCGGTTCCTTGTTCCTGTAACGCGTAAAGCATGTGTCGTAATCTATGTAACCATGATTGTAACAAAGATCTGTACTGTATAACAACTGTACCGTTGCAGGACGCCCATGACATAGAGCCTAACAGCTTATTGGGCTCTTCCTGCGAGAATAAATAATATCTATCTATCTTAAATCAATGCACTTACAGTTACACCTTGCCCAATGCTGTTTTATTGAACGCGTGTTTCGGCTATACATGGCTTACCTAATGAGGTTTGTTTTCCGGCCCACTGGAGGTGATGTGTCGGCTACACGCGCTTTGAAGCCACTAAGATTCATCTCCGCATCGACAAGGGGTACAGAACTGGAGATGCTGCGGATGAATATCTCGCCTCCATCTTCCCTCCCCTCCCCACACACCCCGCACCTCAACAACATCATTAGAGCACGTGGTGACTGACACGGCCAAGAGAACTGGTTCAGCAGTTGCGTTAACTGGTGACATTTGTGCTCTCCTGCCGACTCTGGTTTCAAATCGGTTCGACAGTGTGAACGCCAGAGCTGCGAACGTTAAGGTTTGAGGAGACAAAAGTCCTGTCAGCCCTAGCCACCCGTCGCTGGTTAGAGTTCCACAAGTTCAGATGTCTTTACCTCGGCAATTCACCGATAGCACAATTATAAGGCATACTCTTAGGTTTTTTCGGTAAAGTCACGTAGGTAAAAAATAAAATAATAATAAATGAAAATACATCAATTTATTATTCTTTTATTTTTTACCTACGTGACTTTACCGAAAAAACCTAAGAGTATGAATGCTTGCAGTCACGAAAGCTTCAAATCTAGAATTAATAGGCAATTGTGAGTAAAAATAGCAACAAAAGAGTACAAAAATCAGGTGAATGTAGCACAAGCGGGTATAGAAATGACTGCTAGGCCCAACACCTCTGACCCACACACCTCCTCGATCCTCCACTTTCCAAAGTACGCGTAATCTCCGGGGTAGCCGACGAATTTGCCCTTGAGGAAGGCAATGTAAAAGCAAGACGAGTAGTAGTTGACGAACTGAAAGAGGAACTTCTTGAACGTCAGTCGATACTCGTACTCTCTCTGCGTCCTGGGCATCTCTGTGAGTGTGGACACACGCGTGCATCAAACATGGGTACCAGTTAAACATTTGGTTTGGCATTTTTAAAAAAATGTATATAGTTTAATCTTCTTGGTTCTTTTGGTAAAGTCACGTAGAAGGGAAATAATAAAATAATAAAAATAAAACATAATAAAATACAATTCTCACGACGTTTCGGCCACAACGCAAGCAGCGTCCGAACGGACGATGTCTTTCCGACAGCCCTGTTCTTCACCTGAGGACGGCTGCTTGCGTTGTGGCCGAAACGTCGTGAGAATTGTATTTTATTATGTTTTATTTTCATTATTTCATTATTTCCCTTCTACGTGACTTTACCGAAAGAACCAAGAAGATGAATCCCTGCAGTCACGAAAGCTTTAAATCGATGTATAGTTTAATTTTCTTTTTTACACAGATGATGCCGTTTAAGTCAGTTGCGAGGCTATTTTGCAAGGGAGATCCGTGGCACGTGATCACAGCACCGGCAACCAAACAAAGACAAGAAACATCAAAAATTGGAGAGAACGAGTACAAGGTGCTCAAGGGATATTGCACAACTAACCAACAATGTTTTCAAATGTGGAAAACGAAACACAGACAAATACAAAAAACTGTGCAAATGTAACATGAGAGCAAGACGGGCAAGAAATAGTTTAAGCTATGATAGCGGATATTAAAGGGAATATCAAATACTGAATGATTGTAAAAGTGGGCTTGGTCAGGACACCCTCGTGAGACGTGGGTGATGGCCAGTGGGTCAAGGATAATGATTGTTTGGCTGCTAAAGGAGGAAAAAACAACACACGAATGTCCACAAAGTTCGATTGATATCGTCGAGGAAATTATGAACGCTCCTAGATATTAGCGTGCATTAGGGGAGGCGGGGGGGGGGGCATACAAACCAAAAAGGTTGACAACTACTCGTGTACACCATCAGTGAATTGCGATGTAACTATGTCATCAAATGCGTTGCAGGTTTAAACCCATACATGAACATTTCCCTTCCACGTAAAAATCAAAGCAGGCACCGATCAAAGGCTTTCCTGCAAAAACCATCCTCCCCACCCCAACCGGCCACTGTCAGCTCAGATGAGGTGGCTCAGAGGTCAGAATAATCAACAAAAGCAAATATCCACCAATTAGGCCGGAGGTCATCTTATTCAAGCTGTCGCGGTACGTGTTGCCGCTGGAGGCATACAACAAGTGAACCGATAAAAACCACGATGGCGATGACACCTACCTAGGTCGGTGAGGATAATAGCCATCTTGTCGTAGCCTATGTTCAAGAGAACTATGACCACGATATTGAGGATGGAGGCCGTGATGGAGGCGACCATATCCGGTGTCAGCAACCAGCCGATCACCTTGATCTCGGACACGCGCTTGGGCATACTCGACGAGAGGCAGCTGAACACGGAGAGTCGGTAAACAACGACACCCAGAATGCCCGCAATGATCAAGAGGATCTGCCGGGAACACGAGATAACATTGGAGTGGGTGAGATCAATGGAGTCTTCTTAGCTCTTTTTCCACAGTACAACCGAGCCGTCATTCAGCCACGCTGACCTAGCCCAGTGTGGCTCAAGAGGTATCAGTTCATTTTTCCACTTCAGAACCCCGAGCCATGCCACTGACATCACACGCAATGAATGTGTAATGCTGAGATCTCATTGTATAGACTGATGTAATGTATGATGAAACATTTAAAAAATAAGAATAGGTTTGAACCTTTCTGGCAATAAATAGGTGTTAAGATGTTCAAACAACAAATAGATACATTTTGCCAAGAATCAAGTCTGCATTAGCCACATGTACTTGTGGTAAAACATGCAAACAAACATGCACTGATACATGCATTGTCTTTGAAAATTCACCATAAAGGGTTAAACCTATTTTTATTTTTCATACTTTGATACTGGCAAAAAAAGGTCTCATAGATATGATGAAAATGATTACCCTTGACTCTGGCCCTGCTTGACCCAAAGCCAGGTTCAGTTGTCTTGTGTGGCCAGAGTCTTACGGTTTGCTTCTGTCTCAGCACAGCAAATAGCCAGTGGAAAGCCACCCACCTGTACCATGAGAGCCTCGCGCAAGTCTAGCTGCAATGTGCCCGTTATAAAACGGAAATGTTGGTTTCGAGGCCAGGATCCGCGATGCCCAAGACCGGGGGTCGAAGCCAAAAGCTGCAAGGCCAAGCCGAGGCCCAGGCCAGGAGCATTTTAGGCCAAGACCAATGAGTGTCAAGGCCAGACCCTGAAGGCTGAAGCTAGTGTCAAGGCCGTTGCTTCTAAACCAAGTCCTCGGACTGAGACCATAAACCCCGAGGCCAAGGCCAAGGACGACAGCTGAGGAAATGTCCTCAATCTGGCTTCGAGGCTCATGTCAAGGTCCCAATCAAGACGGATTGTTGACAAGGGTAGCAGGTGGGAATGATGGCCCGCAATGACTCAACTTTGGCACGACCGAATAAAAATCAAGTGTCGCGTGATTGATTGGTCTGGGCCAGTTGTGGAGATTTCAATTGATTAGGCTGACGAAGGGCTGAAAATGATAAAATGATGCATATATATCTATAGCCTAACATGTTGTAATCACTCAATAAATCACCAGAAGTATGAACTTGGTATGAGAGCCACTCTGGCTAGTGGAGGCCAGTGTGGTTGTTGGGACTGGGTACGGCCCTTATCTGAATCCACGACTGGACAACGACTCCCCCACCCCTATGTGGATTGTGAGGGCCATTTGCCCATACTTCACCACGCCGACCAATGCCGGTCGGTGATAGAATGAAGAATCTAAGTACACTCCTCTGCTGGCCACAACATAGCCCTGCAGCAGCCTACAACACCTGTTTTTTGTGGGAGATGGTTACCCATTCGTCGAGTACCCAGGCTGAATCCTGCTTCATTTTACAACACCAGGAGTATTCCAGGTGACTAGGCCCTAGCTCCAATGGGTCAGGAGCAGGAGAGTTCAATGTAAGTGCTTGTTGCTGGATTGGCAGACTCACCCAGAACAACACCATGACTCCGGAGAAGCAGTAGCGCAACCTTAGTGTTCTCCTGGGCACGTGGGGCTCCTCCTCCTGCACTCACCAAAAAATAAAGACAACAATCCCGCGTATAGCTGGTAACAGACTGTCGGGACAAGTGCTGTTAGTGAGCACCTATGAAGGCCGGCACGGCACACGAAGGGGTGAGTGGCCAGCACCACGTCCGGCCGCCTTTGCCTGCCCAGTGGCGATGTTTACGCATTGCACTCGGTACTAAATTGAGGCTGAGTCGACCTAGGGGAGGCCCAGGACCGGTTCAGATAATCGTCAATGGTGTAGACCGTGAGCCAGAATCGAACTGTGGCCGCCGGGTTCGTAGCGCAGCACACTCACCATGACACTTCCATGCACGAGCGCACAGACGGAGACCACAGTTTGAATGCATGAGGCTGACAGAGTAAGCGCTGCTAGTGAGACCCATTAATGTGGGCTAACGAGGCATCCTTCGTCTCCCCAACACTGGTTAAGCATTGCAATGATGCTGGGTGGTCGGGTGGTTCGGAGGTCCGAGCGTTGAGTTGGCAGCACTGAGATTCTGCATTAGACTCCAGGCAGCTGCCTCTAATTGAACAGATTTCTCATGTGTAGTGGGATGATCGATCAGCCTGGTCAGTATTGGAGAAAGAAAAAGAAAATCCTGTAATATTAGATTAGTTTCTGTACTTAAATTGGCCAAATGTCAGCTTTTTAAATAAATAAATTAAAATATTGGTTTCACCATCATGAACATTTCTTCTGAGCAGAGTGGATGGGAATGGATGGGAAAATGCTGCCCCCTATTGTGATCACTTGAAGGGGTCAAAGACGTAATCATTGTTTCTTTGGACCTCTCTCTAACATGGGGTGATGCGCTGCTCTGCGAAAGTTCATCATGGATTCTTTTTTACACGACATGACGGCAAAAGCACAATCGCGATAGAAATTCGGCGAAAACGCCAGCAACTGTTATGAAAGAAAACAGTAAAAGTGACATATCCAACGGCACAACATAGAGGTGTGTGATGAGGTAGTCGTCGTGGGGATGACAGAAAGCGTTACCATGGTGACGATGTTGAGCTTCTTGCTGGTGCAGCGAGCCTCATACTCAGGTCGGATCGGATCGCCCTCCTCCTCCGTCAGGTCCCAGCGGAAAGCGAGCGCCGTCTGGTAGCGCCTCCATATCTCCAGGAACACGGTGGCTGTATCACACGCCACACACGGGGAGGGAAACCTTCAAAAGTAATCCGACTCCCAAACACTCCAGAAGTTACATAATGCAGTCTTTTACATGGTATTTTCACAGTAACTTAAAATGAGTACTTTGTTTTACTTTTATAAATACCTAGAAGATGTGCCATGGGTGTCGTGTCATGTCACGTGATGGAGAATGCATCTTTTGCAGAGCCGTGCCACCTTTTTATTATTATTACACGCTTTCTTTTAACTCACTCTGTTGTTGTTGTCGTTGTCGCTGTTGTATTCTCAAATATTGCAACTCAATTTTAACCCACTTCCCAATGTGGTATCGACTGCAAACTTGGTATACTTGTGTCATACTGATGACAATACTACATTCTATCATAAAAAATAAATATATATATATTTAAACATTCTTTTTATATGTTATGTTTCGGCTTGGGTCTAATTGTCCACGCTCAACTGACGTTGGCTGTAATTGGCCACGCTCCCTTACGTTATGGCAAGCTTCGGGGCCACATCCTGGAGTCGTGGAGTTCTGCCATTACTAGTACATTTCATAAAAGCGTGTTTAAATTTTTTTTAAATATTACTTATTTAGTTAGACAATGGCACAAGGAAGTGACTATCAAAGAGCTACCTCTCAAATCCCTTCAAATGACCTCTGATCCACACGGCAGGGGGCAGCACTATACCAACTGCCTTGTAACCAAAATGTATGTTTGTCGCAGGGCAAATGGATATTTACCCTTTTTAAGCTCAGAATTGGGATTTAGTTTAAGTTCAGAACCAAATATAATGTGCTGAGGGGTTTTCATGAGTCATTTATAATTCAGTTGCGTCCATGTCGTCATTGAAAATGGTTGAATTAGAGGCGGCTGCCTGGATTAGAACCAAGAATCTCAGCGTTGCCAACTCAGCCCTCTGGACTCTGAACCGTCGAGCTATCATGTTGGAGAGGTTCACACGCTTCAAATCCAGTGGCCGCCCTGATTAATACTGCCAGTGTATCTGAATTACAGTGGACGTTGAACATCCCGCAACACCATTTGCATGCGTATGCCATTGTGTGCCGGCATCATGGCCACAGGTTTCCAATATGAAAATTACCGGCAAATTAGTGAATTGGAAAATACAGAGCCATTATCTTCCCCTCCTGCAAACCTAGCAGGACTTTCCTGAATAAGGATCATGATACTCAAAGAGGTGTTCCTTGGTAAACAAGCGTGATACAAAAAGTTGTAAACAATATAAACACTTGAAAAAAAACGCATCTGGAAAATGTTTATGTCGCACAAAAACACTGAAACGTTAACATATCAACGATGGGCACCAAACTCACACATTGTTCAGTTTGGAGGGCATCCCCAATACACTATTGCCTTCTGTCGTAATGGGAGGAGGAAAAAGGTAATAATGCTGCCCTCCTCGTCATAGGTTTATTAATTACACCGTCATAAGACTGACTCGTTGCATGTACCATCAAAGTGACTTTTTAATTTTACTATCCTGGACACATAACTGACGTGATGTGCACCATCAAAGAAACAGGCCATCATATGCACTATGGCCAAGATGCCACAAACCCCTTCACGAATCACCAGGGAACACGACAACTCTGAGCTTTAGACTGAAGTAATTAAATCACCCAGAATATGCTTGATGTCGTTGGATCTAGGATGCTCATTGAGCTTGAGCCCTGGATAGTGCTGGGATTGGGTGACTGCTGTCATAGTCATAGGCATCTGTGGGCTGAGCTCAGTGGGTGGGTAGCAGAGGGCGATGTCGGAAAAAACGTGTTGTTGTACTCGACGATGTGTCCACATCTATGCTCCGCGCTTTCATCAACCTGTGCTGGCCAACGTGAGGTATGGTCAAATAGCCCCCAAGATCAGCTTGTTGTGGGGGCAAGCCTTCATTGGGCAGTGGATTGACAAAAGGGATATGTACATACACATCGTCGTTAAATAGGGGCATTGCTAGACATAGTCGTACGTATGTCAATCACCATCATCATAATTATCATCATCGCAATAACGTTGAAGCTTGTCGTTGTGTCTGGGAAATGCGCGCCAATGTTCAGCATCACTTACCCCAAAGTCCCATGAAGAGTGTGAAGAATACGGTGGCCGGGTTTTCATAAATAGACGAACTCTGCACCGACACGAGCGGAGGTGTTAGTCACAATTAAACCTGGGTACAGTACCAACTGAGCATCTGCATCTGTTCAATATGAACAGCAGCAGCAGCAGCAGCAGCAGCAAAATAACGATGCATTGACCTGATTAAAATATATTCATTGTTAGCGGTATTTTGCAGGTGGGGAATCGATCGTGCACAATTCACGTACGCTTTTCATGGTTCGACTAATGTATAAAATAAAACGGTACAAATGTGACAGGAGAAAGAAGATGCATTGGGTAGTTCCTTGACTGCAGACAAAGATTTCAGACACGTTAAAGTGGTAGTAAATAATTACTTGGTCGTGATATGTTCACCAATTAGGACCCTAATACAGATTAAAATAATTTGTCGACTTGTCTTGATAGTGGAGAAATGCTCACAAAAGACCATAGCATCGGATTCATCCACGCTGGGATGTGATGGTGCATTCACTTTCACATATGTGCCCAAGCATTGGCTTATTCCATTAACAAGCCATAGTTGCTCAAACTAAATACAGTCTCGCTATATGCGCGTGCTCGTGTGTTTAAAACACCCAGTGGTCAACAGTGGCGTCGTGATTAGTGCACTACACTACAAAACCAATATCAGCAGCAATTGCATGACCCGGGTCTTACGCCTCCCCGAAGTAGACTGAGCACCTGGTGCGGTGTGTAAAGAACCAGCACTAGCGCTGGCCACACCACGCATTCGTGCACCGCGCCAGCCTGAATAGGTGCCGACTAACAGCACCTGCCCCAATAGTCTGTAGACAACTATAGGGAGATCTCTGTCTTTTTAACAGCCGCACAAATGGCAGCGTAGTGTTTAGCATCATATGCTTTGATCATGGTTAAACACATTCCTGCGGAGGGAGCTGGTAGGAACGTTGGGTTGCTCGGTCAATGGCCAGGGTCAACGGCGGCGTGGTGTATTCCGCAAATATGCCCGACTGTGAGGGCGGGCACAAGCCGGCGTGAGTAGGTTAAGCGTTGCGTTTTATAAGGGCACCACGGGGTGACCAGCCCCTTCCCACCCAGCCCCTTCCCACCCAGCCCCTTCCCACCCAGCCCCACCCCTCCCACACCCCACCCTCCCCACCCAGCCCCTCCCCACCCAGCCCCTCCCCACCCTCCCCTACCCACCCAGCGCCTCCCTCCCCACCCAGCCCCTCCCTGCACGACGGACACAATAATCCCCTGTGGGCTGGTGTAACCAGGAGGTTCCTACCAGTATGATGCTACAATCTCAGCAACATGCGCTTGCTTTCTGACCGTGATGCACGACACCAATGACCGATACTTATCCTAATCGCAAGGGGACCATCTATGTTGTGTTTGTGTGATACCTGAGCAGAGTCGCAGGTTTCATTTAACCTCCAGAAGGTGCATCGTTTGTCACACTGGGGGCACATGACCAGGATTTCACTGGAGCTGTTGCAGATTTCTTCACTGCGCACACAGACACGCGCAGACGCGTGCACAGACACGCACGCACGCGCCAATGGTCACATTACACTTGGATGAGAAGTACAATGTGGCTCAAGTCAGTGCTTACCATTGTGTTGTGCACCCCCTGCGTTTGGCATTGCCCCACTTGAAACAAGGTTGCAATAAAAGGTGGGTGCCAACTTCTGGCATTAGCCAAAGTAAAACTCACATCCAGGAAAGAGTTGAATTCGTGGTGTGTCATCATTGCGGTGTATTATGTTACAGGAACGGTTACAGCCGTTGTGTCCATCCACAGTTGGATGAGGACCTCCCCAGATGATATGCATTACATGCACACCGATATTGTAGTGCTTTTAAAATGTATATTTGATGTAAGCTAAATGTTCAACTCAACATTGTCCCAACATTACGCTTGTATTTGCTGGGAGGTGCTGTCAAGAGGTGTGCTCATATGCTCGCTCTGCCACCAACAGACACTGGCTACTTGCAACACAAATGTGGCTTCTAATTCGGCCTACAGATTCGGATTTGGTGGATTCTATAAAAGATGCAAATCTGGATTCAGATTCATCCCATTATATTATTTGTACTAAGAGCACCACGGTAGTGAGATGTTATCTCCCTCGCCTAATATGCAGGAGGGCATAAGTTCGATGCCGATCCTGACGTCTGCACATCTGGAGTTTGCATGTTCTCCCCGTGGTCGTGTGGATTTTTCTCCGGGTCCTCTGGGTTTATCGCTCCACATTTAGAATCAACATGCGTTTTGACTATTAGGCTGCTATAAATTTCCACATGATAAGCCACATAGTTCAGCTATTATTTGTGACAAGTTCGCTTCTGAAAATGAACCTTACCTGGTGGTAAAAAATTTGAAAAAGTTTCGTTTAGTTTATTTGGCCATAGTTCACCACTCCGGTCTTTCTCGTATCACATTCCCGCTCATCACTTTATCTCATCACTTTCTCTCTCTCGCGATGCAGTCGTGTAGAGTTCAAGATGCCATTCGCTGACAACCAATATCGCAGATCGCAAGTTTGTGAATAACGAGGGAATACTGTATATTCTCATGTACTACAGGTGTAGTTGTGAAAAGACAAAGGGGCAGCCTTGCAATTGCTCGCTCCCGCTGCTGCTGGTGGAAGGTCCTCCACTCGAGGGAGCTCTAGAGAGTCCCTTCTCTCAGGGTATTTGGCCTGCACTTCTATGCCAGCCAGACATCTTGTAAGCAGTGTGAGTACTAACATATTACCCCACCTACATGCCACCTACCAATGGATTCCATTAATACCGCTCGGCAGATAGAGGTGGCAGGAAAACACGCGGCCATTTTTTTCAACTGCCACGCTGTGAGATCGAACCATTGGTCTCTGGATCGCAATTCCAGTGTGTTCACCGTTACACCACGATAGGATCTCAGGGGAACGTACAGCACGTGCACGTGTATTACACGTCTATATGCATGTGTGTAATAACCTCAGTAGGTCCTCGCTAACACTCATTTTTCAGTCTGCGTTGCCATGCAAGGGATCTGAATCAATGTGCTCTGTATTTGGACACATGCGTGTATGTGTGTGTGCGTGCTTGCATACGTGGAAGAGGATCGTGGTCAGTGGGAGGCAGTCGCCCTCCAGCAACAACGGAGGGCAGAGGAGCGACGCTCACAACAATGAACGGAGCGCCGGGTGGCTAAAATGCAGCGAATTGGCACAGTAGGTGGCACAGCTGGTGCATCAGCCAGTCATCTCAGTTAGTCAACCCATGGCACCTGGGTCTGTCCCGTGACCTCCTGCCAGCGAGCTTTCGACACTTCACATGGCCTCAATTTCCACATAGCCTGTCACAGTCGCCGTGGTGACGTCACCGCCACCTGCTTGGGAATGGCGGGTGTTGTTGTTGTTAAGGCTATACGGGGGATCTTTGTCTTTGTCGGGCATGGGAGCGGTTGCGTAGCGGTTATCTCGCTGTGCTACGAACCCGGCGACCCGGGTTTGACTTCCGCACACGGCCACAAACAACAGTGACGATTATGTGAACCGGTCCTGGGCCTCTCCTAGGTCGACCCAGCCTCAAATTAGTATCTGGTGCGATGTGTAGTAAACATCGCCACTAGGAAGACAAAGACGGCCGGGCGTGGTGCTGGCCACCCACCCCCTCGCATGCCGTGCCGGCCTTCATCGGTGCTCGCTAACAGCGCTTGCCCCAACAGTCTGTTAAGGCTACACGGGGGATCTTTGACTTTGTTGGGGCCAGTGCCTGGTGATGTTATTGTCCTTGTTGAAAGCCCCGACGAAGAAGCAGACGAGGCCGACGACTGCAGCAATGCTCAGCATCTTGGTGTAGAAGCCGAGCCACGCGAAGTACAGTCCCACCTGTTCCCCGAAATACGAGCTGTGCCGACATCACACACACACACCACACACGCGCGCGCACGGCACAAAAATCACCTACCATGCACGGCACCGGTGGCCGTAGCTATCGAATATGCAGGTGGTGCAATTGCACCGAGGGCCTATGGGCAGATCAAGTTCAAGTTCATTTATTAGGTATAGCCCTGTGAGCCATTCGGCTCTTGAATCGGGTACAACCGCAACAAACAAAAAACTAAAACATGAACAAAAAACATCTTAAAGTGAATATGGGACTGAGTGCAAACAGAAAAGAAAGACAGCAAAATATTGCAGAAAAAAACACCGTACACCAACGCTGTGTGCAAAAATCCCAGTGGGATGCAAGTCAAACAACCAACAACAACCACAAGACAACTTAGATTAAGGCCACCAGTCTAACTCTGTACTACAACAAACAAACATGGCTAAAACAATACACTTTTCGAAATCACCAAAATAAAGCCATGAAACCAATGAAACAGTGATCATAGGAACTGACGGAATTTTCACAATAAATGGCATAAACAACAAGATGGGGCTGTGGCAAGAGGGGACGATGTGGGCAAGGTCTCGTCTGGAACTGCATCCCCCCAGCCATCCTCGCTGTCAACTCCCTGCTCACTGTTCTCGTCCAGGCTTGAGACAATTCCTTTTTTTTCCTTTGCCCTGAACGGACTTTCTCTTTTTCCTCGATAGAATAAATAATGTTTATGCACGGCGTCTTGAAATACTGTTGCATTCATATGCTACACAAGTGTTGCCATCATATCTACTGCTCTATTTAAGGAACGAAACAGGATTTATCCACAAATATGGCTGTCGCTTGATGAAGCTAGTTTTAATTGCTGGCGAAACGTCGTACTCAGATTGTAAATGTTGTGACTTGGCTCTCCAACACACCGGCGTGCTGTACTAGTACACTACACACTACACTACTATACACTACACTATACACTAGTGCTGTACTAGTGACGAATTGGCACGTTCTGTTTACGTGACAACCCTTACTAGTTGGCTGTGTCGGGTGGTGGCGGGTTTAACATTTAGATATTTACGCGATCTCACCCAAAAACCCGTATTATAAACCAAACTGTATTGTAATCTCCAAGCTTCACACTTTAAATCCTACTCAACAATACCATTTGAATTCAACTAAAGTTGGATTCGACTAAATGTAACTGTTAAAAAAGAGTAAGTGGACCTGGGCTGGGGTCGTCAAACCTTTGACCAAAATAGTTAGAGAGCTGCATTACATGCAGAGCTCCTTGTACACATACACAGCCGGTTTCCAGCAGATTACTTAAATAAGCAAAATAGATGGAATAAACTGCGTCTATTTAGTTTCCCCCCGCCCCCCATAGTTATTCTTTCGCAATGCAGTTTTACTGTTGTACATTTCGTTGTCACATTCCAAAGTGACCCATTCCCGGCAATATGGAATTAATTGTCTTTACGTTAAATCATATTTAAGATTTAGGTTTTTTCATTTTTAAACGCCTGCCCAAAAACCGAGTTTACTATTATTGTTCTTATCAAGAGTCCATGACCGACGGCCAAGGCTTAGGAAGGCCTTCATCCGGCAGTGAATTGGGCATGACCTTACCGCACAAGGTCAAGAGGCTGCTCCTTGAAAGAGCGCCCGGCTCTCGCCCACTCACGCCACAGCGTCTTCCGGTCGCTCCGCTTCTCCGATCTCTCGGGCCGGTGCTCGTACTCGCCCTGCCACGGGGGGAACGCAATCATCAATCAGACACTGCTTGCACACAAACCGCTTCCCCCCTTCGCCATCCCGAAACCTTGCCGTGGTGTAAGGGGTCGCACTCTGGACTTGCAATCCAGATGTTGCCGGTTCGATTTCCCGGCGCAGCCGTAGAAATGGGCACACCGCAGTTAAGTCTGCGGTGAGATTTAGACTTTGTAGTAGTGTCCTGGACAAGAGTGCGGAACGCTACTGCCACGGTGGCAAGATGTTAACGACCTTGCCTGGTATACAGGAGGACGTGGGTTCGATCCCGACACTGACGCCTGTATATTTGGAGTCTGCGTGTCTCTCTCCCTGTGGCCGTGTGGATTTTTGTCCGGCTCCTCCGGTTTTCCCCTCTGCATTTAGAATCAACGTCACGCGTTTAGAGTATTTGGCTGCGATAAATTGCCGCGTGATGATAAGCCACTTCGTTGAGCTATAATTTCTGGCCGGGTCACTTCTGAAAAGAGCTATGTAGCTCAGTGGGCCTTACCTGGTAAAATTAAAATAATTTAGTTTAGTAGTATAGGTGTCACACATGGGGCCTCCCGTGTGGGTGTCCATGTGCCCTCCACCACATTCCTCCCCTCCACCCCCCTCACCCCCCCCCCACTCAACCTACATCGTGCAGTGGGTAAGCAGCCGTGTAGCAGCCATTGGAGATCATCCGGTTGAGGTTGAAAGTCGTTTCACTGTCCTGTGACACGTGGCAATAAAGCAGCATGTGGTGGACCTGCAAGAGCATGTATCACACACAACACACACACAACACACACATGTAACACATCACACGCATGGTTGGGTGAGCTACGGTTGACTGACTTAACTGTGCAAACGCGACCCCCACCCGCCTCTCCAACTGCCACCAGCCCAGAAATTCGGTCTTGAACCGACCCCTTAAACCAGGGGTCGGCAACCTACGGCTCCGGAGCCGTATGCGGCTCTTTACGGGCTGCTTCTTGACGATGAGTACGTATGTACTCAGATGCATTGCGGCTCTTGAAATACTGATTTTTTTTACCGAATTGGAAAGAAATGGCTCTTCTTGTTATTTTGGTTGCCGACCCCTGCCTTAAACCAACCCCTAATCCAAGGCAATCTCGAAGCAGACGTACGATCTGGCTGCGTACGGCCGGCGGGATGAGGGCGTCGCGATCGGTGATGGGATAGACGTCCTGCTGCGATCGCCGGAAGGGCGCCGTGAAGTAGTCGGGCTGCTCCGGCACGGCTCCCGGCTTCAGGCGGAAGAGCTTGCCCAGGCAACCGAGCGGCCCGCAATCCGAACGCGAGACCTGGCCGAGGTCGCTCTCCCCGAGTGGCACCTGTTTGATTTATTTGAACGGGTGAAACACATTGCCACGAGCACGTGAAATTATACTGCGTCTTTGCTACATTTCATCATCATAAAGCAACATCATCAGCCATGATCAGTCATCTGATGGATGAAGATATCCCACAAGTTATCATCCCTCACCGTTCCTACCATGCAACAATCCATCTGGCAAATGACAATTTCTCTGCCTATCCCACCCACTAATTACAAGGCCCCAACCATTGTCCATATGATGAGCACCTGCACACGAGCCACTCTCATCTCTACATTGAACATCCTCTTGGGCACATTCCCTTCTTTGGCTGCCACTCTATCGTTGGTCTCGATCAGCAACCATCATCATCATCACTTCTCATGACATGTTCTGCTCAAGCCCACTTATCTTAACAGTAAATATGTTTCTAACATGAATCTTTTTTTCATCATGTATGTTTTTCTAATCTGTCTGTATATTTCTGTTTCTCTTTTAAAATTCGTAAATTATTATTGTCAAAATCATGATCAATATGGTCATCATGAAAAGATTATCACAATCATAATCACCATTATCACAATCATTACAATCGTCGCCATCATCACAATCATTATCACCATCATCACAGTCATCAGCAATTATCACAACATTCCATCACAATGATCATCATCATCATCACAATGATCAACACAATCATAATCACCCATCATCACCATCACCACCAGCGTCATCTTTACAATGACCGTCAAGTGAGCCCCTTGCCTGGACGTGCAGGATCTCAGCGTAGGTGCTGAGAGGTTCCCACGGCGCGTGCACCTTCACGAAGGCGGTGCGTCCGCTCACCGACTCCTGGTCAACGTCACCGAGTTCGGTTTCCTTCTTTTTTGTTGGTGGGGACTCAAGGGGACAACAACCGCCGTCTCCTTTGCCAGAGTGGCCATGATCGCACCACCATCATCTTATTCGCAACCTCCGACCCACCACTCCCTCACCAGTCCCCCACACCCCCCACTCCCCATGCACCCACATACGAACCCCTTTATATTGAGAATCACGGTGTCTATGTTATTTCGCGGACACGGAACTGGCAAACCACGGACTGGTTCTTAGATATCCCCCCCAACCCGCCTCTGTTCATTCACCAGTTTAAAAAAATGGCTAAGGGGCCGTCCATAAATGACGCCACGCGATTTTGGACGATTTTTGACCCCCCCCCCCCCCCTTTCGTCACACGGCGTCACAAAAAGTCAGACCCTCTCTCAAATATGACGTCACAAAGCTCTGCCCCCCCCCCCCAAAATAAAACATACTTCAAATCGCTTTAAACTATTGTCGTTGTAGTGCGTATTTAATGTGGCGCTGCACTCTGATGTTGTAGGAGAAAACATTTATTAAAAAGTCTATTTAATTCAGTAAAACGTGTTGTCTATATTTATTTAAAGTTGCGCATTTTGATGTGACGTCACATTTATCAACCCCCCTCCCCTCGTCACACATCGTCACAAATGTCTGACCCCCCCCCCCCCCAGGTGCATGACGTCATTTATGGATGGCCCCTAAACCACTGTTAATCGGCGTATTTTGTGTGGCGGTGTAAAGTGTAGTTATTCCCATCTCTTCAGAGACATCTGACGAGCATGGAAGAGGAGGCTGAATGCCCTCCAGAGGGGGTTCCCAAGCGCTCACTTCTAGCGGAGCACTTTCTGCCAGCAGTGACGTGATCAAGAAATCACACTCCTCCCACCTTCATCTCGTTACACTGTGTGATCCACAGCTGGAGAGACACGCAGACAACTTACCTCCTTGGGCTCAATCTCGAGCTCCAGCCCCATCTTCAGCAGCCTTGCCTGATACTCGGACCTCTTCGTCTGCCAAACAAAATCGAGCACAGATGTAATTTTGCTCTCATTTCACGTTCCTTTCGGGTTCAAGAGGTGAAGTAACTTCACCAGAGCCTTACACAGATATGCCCTGGAAGGTAGCGTCACTGAACGTCAGTATGCCTTCTTAATAATTACTTGAAGTTGAAATATCTTGAACTTTATGCTTTTTTAACAATTAAATAATTTACATAACCCTTTGTCAATCAATTTCCGGATGGTGGTCTCCCAATGCTGCATTGGTTATCGGGGTTATCCCAGCATATTTCAGCACGCTTGTCAGGGCGGATTGGTTAAGTAGGGGACCCAGGACTGTTTTGGACATAGCTCACTCCTGGTTAGCCCTGACCAGGAATCAATCTCAGGTCGCAAGCTTCATCGCACAGTGCGCTAAGCAGTGTGCCACCGTACTGCTGTTAGACCAATTCACACAAAAAAATGTTAAATCATATCTCAGAAGCTAAACACGATAGAACATGATTAATTATTGGATACGTGGCCACCAGGGGGCTTGCTCAACATTGCCGAATTGAGGGTGCGCCAGGTGGCCCAGGAGATGTCAGTGTTGAATGCCACGAATCGCATGAAGTGGTGAGTTTCCTTGCACACAAACCCAAATACAATCCTGATTAAATGCTATTTGCCAAGCATCTGAATGCAGAGCCCTCTATTCTAAGAATAGTTTTCCACATGCCAGTTTGCAATGTAGCTTAACATCGAAATTAAACACACTGCAGGTTATGTGGGTATGAGTGTGTGCAATGTGGAGGTGATCCATTCATGGTGGAGTTGAGGGATGGAGTTTGAGATGTAAAGATCATTGGTTGTTGTTGTTGGACATCGCGGTGAGCCGTGTGGTTCAGCTTCATTTATTGGGGGTCAGGAACAGGGTGTGGAAGTGCGACTTGAGTTGAACCAAGAAGATGAATCCCTGCAGTCACGAAAGCTTTAAATCGAAATTGAGTTGTGGAGTCGAGGGTACGGTGTGTAGCGTGGAAGTATGCAGTTGATGATAGAATTGTATAAGGGGCCGTCCATAAATGACGTCACGCGATTTTTGATGATTTTTGACCCCCCCCCCTTCGTCACACGGCGTCACAAAAAGTCAGACACCCCCCCCCCTAAAATATGACGTCACAAAGCTCTGCCCCCCCCCCAAATATATATATAAAACATGCTTCAAATAGCTTTAAACTATTGTCATTGTAGTGCGTATTTAATGTGGCGCTGCACTCTGATGTTGTAGAAGAAAACATGTATTAAAAAGTCTATTTAATTAAGTAGAACGTGTTGTCTATATTTATTTAAAGTTCTGCATTTTGATGTGACGTCACATTTCTCAAACTCCCCCCCCCCCTCGTCACACATCGTCACACATGTCTGACCCCCCCCCCTCCCCAGGTGCGTGACGTCATTTATGGACGGCCCCTAATGGATGTACACTGTGGAGATTAAAAGTTATATATGAAGGTGGAAAGGTGGTTCAGAGGTCAGAGCGCTTAGCTGGCATGAGTGAGATCCTGGGTTTTAATCCAGGTATGTGATTAAATGTTATTCTCTCTTTTCGATAACAGTTTAAGTAAGTTTACGGTATCAGCTCAGTCAACAATTCACGCGCAACAACAAAGTGGAGAACCAGCTTATATTAAAGTTGTTTCTCCACTTAATCTCCATATATATCAAAGGCAAAGTTGTGAATATGTGTGTCTGTTCAAAATGTTTAGCGTACTTCCCGACATGCAACAAACTGCAAATTTGCCATTTGGGTACTTTCCAGACTGTACACCATGAAAAAATGATAAAAATACACTTTTTTGGGGGGGGGGGAGCTCAATAATGCATAAATATTTTGCACGGCAAGTGAGCTGTGACGTCACATGTCACGTGACCTGCGCACGTGGAAGCGTAACGCATTGTCGTGTAGTGGTGAGCGCGCTGCGCTACGAACCCGGCGACCCGAGTTCGATTCCCGCTTACGGCCACCACCACCACCACTGGTGACGATTATTTGAACCGGTCCTGGGCATCCCCAAGGTTGACTCAGCCTCAAACCAGTAACTGCTGTGGTGTGTGAACATCGCCACTGGGGAGACAAAGGCGGCCGGGCGTGGTGGATCCAAGTCCCGGGTAATACAGCTAGTCTTAAATAAATTCAAACAAAAGACTGCCAGCTATGGAAATGTATTCATGTATCAGTTTCACTGGCATGCGACAAGTGCTGCCCTCTACCGTATGGACCACCAGGAGCCATTCTCAAACACTACGGGATGCAGCCATCGCGTGGCAAAGATATCTGGATGGACAGTTTGTCTCGGGACGTGCCGACAATAGCGCAATTGGGATACAATTTAGGGAAGAGATAGCTACAATTATACGTATAGATATATAACAGTTAAAGTGTCAGGGACCGGGTTTGTGGGATGCAAGTTACGAATTATATGTTGGTGTCAAGCGATAGTGCAGCGGTCAGCACGCTACGCTATAAACCTGGCAACCCAAGTTGGATTCCCACTCACGGTCACCAGCACCAGTGACGATTATCTAAACCGGTCCTGGGCCTCACCTAGGTCGACTCAGCCTCATACGATTACCTGGCGTGATGTCTACCACAAGGGAGACAAAGGCGGCAGTGCATGGTGCTGGCCACCGACCCCCTCGTGTGCCGTACCGACCTTCATAGGTGCTGGATAACAGCACTTTCCCGAACATTCTGTGATGCTATAACGGGAGATCTGTGTCTTTGCTGTGGTAGTGATAGGAGCAGGCAGATGGAGGTTTCATTTTTTTAAAGTGCTTCATTCTTACCCGATCCTTCACGGTGTTCGTAGCATGAAGTTCATCATCGTAAGCGAGAATGAAGTCGATCCTCCGCGATCCATCTCGAAAGTAGACGGTGTCTTTTTGGGGAGGCATATCCGGACCCTTATATAACTGCACGCGCTAGCACACACAAGCCCACAGGCCATGAATGAACATGAGAGAAATGTTACAATTCATATTTATTCATAAGCTCGCAGTACATGGATCGGTACAAGATTATTTTTTGTTATTTTTATACTGTACTTCATTATTATTATTATTACACGTTTACATGGGAAAACCTCACTGAGCCTTAAGATTATTTTTCAAGAGGGTCCTGCTAAGTTTTGCAGTAGGGAACAATGTTGCTATCTGTAATCCCAATTTAGTATTTAACAGGCAATATATTTTGTACTCTTTGCTTTTTTCAGAAAAAATTACTGTAACAGTGACGGTTCCACCTGAAGACGGAGGCTTGTGTTGCCTCCGAAACGTCGTGATTTAATTTATTTTTTTCCTTTTTTAACCTACGTGACTTTACCGAAAAAACCCAAAGAGTATGGATCCTTGCAGTCACGAAAGCTTCAAATCTAGAATATATTTTGTGTTTAGTTTGTTGTCCTTCCCTCGCACCTACGATTAGCAAGGTTGGCTATGTACGGTGCGAAAGAAGTTCAACATACATACGTGGGGATGTTTGGGCAATGCATGTTACATTGTGTTTGTTTAGCCGTGGGTGGAAACTGAAGAACCCGGAGAAAACCCCATGTGGAACAAGGGTGGTACATACAAACTCCACACAGAAAGGCACCCGAGTCGGGAATCGAACTCAGGTGCTTCTTCACGTGAGCCACGAGTATTACCACTGGGCCACCCACACACCCACCCACCCACCCACACACCCACCCACACACCCACCCACACACACACCCACCCACCCACTCACACACCCACCCACCCACCCACACACCCACACACCCACCCACACACACACCCACCCACCCACTCACACACCCACCCACACACACACCCACACACACACCCACACACACACCCACCCACCCAACCACACACCCAACCACACACCCACCCACACACCCACCCACACATGATCCCCGCATCCACAAGAGGCCGGTGAATTCACAATGCTACAAACAGAATCGATTCTTCAAATGAAATCGTGACTCTAAATTGTGGCCATTCATCAATTCGTGTCGGGCTTTTGCGAATTTAGTTTTCGTAACTTTGTAATTGTTTCAGCATTTGCTTACCGTTAGGGTTGTATGTTTTCCATACAGTACATGAATGTTTGACTTTGTTTAATTTACTGTACTGTACTTCCAGTGCGAATGAAGATAACTTCACATGTTTTCAACAGCACTTCACTCGACGTAAACGCGTGCCATGAGTCTTCTAAAACGATTGCAGCTTTACAACATGCGGTGCGATCATCACAGATGCCGTCAGTTACACAAGACAGAAATACATATTTGAAATAAACTATAAATACCGTACACTATTCTGAATTACGTGGTGATGCTGCGTTAGCAGTAGGGTGCTCAAAGTGGAGTGAAGCACAATCCGTATGTAAAGAGGCCGTGAGTCACTGGTGAGTAACCGTTTGTCACTCATTTCGGGTAGGGTACGGGTAGGGAACGGGTACCCGTACAGCGACCCTGGTGCGGCCGGGTACGGGTAAGGAATAAAAACCCGTTTGCAACCTCTGGTGTGAAAGGTGGAGTGGGCAGCAGCGGGAGCTGTCAGTTGGGGCAATTTATGGAGTTGGAAAGTTGATAGAAAAAGAGATGAATGTTGATATGAAAAGAGGTGAAATAGCAGTGGGAATTCACTTAAGCCTGCAGAGGAAATGGAGGTTGTGAGAGCTCCATAGGAAGTTGTAGGATAAATAAGTATAGGAGTGTAAGCTAAAAAGTTACCGATCATTACAATTGTGAAGTGATATATTTTATTCAATTGTGTTACCCATTCTGGGTACAACATATACACGACTTGCCAGCGTCTTCTGTTTATATCTAGCAACATTTAGGCGACGTTACTCAAGCACGGTGAACGAAACACTCAACACATTCGTAAATAAAACCGTCCTTAAAAAATGAAATACTAAGGCAGTGGCATTGACGAATGTTGAGTCGTTTTTGGTTTTGTGGTTGTGAAAATAATGATGCCATACAATTGCCATGGCCATCGCACTTCCGATCAGTACGGCTGGCTCCGTGCAGTGCAAAGTAAGTTCAACATACATACACACAACTTACTGTACTCTTTGTAAAGTGGTAATTTAATGACACGATGAACATGACATCCCGACCACGTTTGCAGGCAGCCTTGGATACCCGCGGGTACTGAAGAATCGCTATGGAATCAATTTCATCGATGCGTCATCACAACAGCGATGCACTTCCCCGGTGATGCATCATTGTATTGTCACAATTCGGTGGTCACAATTCTACACCAATAATTGATCAACTCTTCGCTTGTTTTTGGACAACGTCTCAAGATGCGGCCGCAACACGACGCTGTATAAACCCACGTAATGATTGCACGTACGTTGAACTTTTTTCCCACCGTACGTAGCCAACAACCGTCCTAATCAGAGGCGCGTGCGGGGAGGTGCATCGTACCTGTGTGTTGAAATCGATTGAGATAACGGCGGGTCTTGTGGAAACTCCACAAGTCGCCTGCTCCTCCTTCTCATTCACTCTCCTGCTTCCTCATTCTGCACGCCCACGATGGTCGGTCTGGATGATGCGGGATCTGCGCAGGCGATGTGAGTGAGGGCAGAGGGAGTAGGTGGGTCTGGAAAGGGGGTTTGGCAGGCACAGGAACGAGGTACGGTAAAGCACGCACGTGGTCAGAAGAATGGGAATGTTCATACTGGATGAATCCGATGAGCTATGAAGCTCTTTTAGGGGCAGGCCAGAACGTTACGATAACAAGCAATACAAAAACACGACACAGACACACATAGTATAAACTCATCTGCTGCGCGTGGTACTGAAGCTTCCTACCGTTGGTTGAAAGCGTCATTGTATTAGCTCTGTCCGTACCCTTGGCACTATACAGCTCTCGTAAACATTATTCAGAATGAAAGAACCTCTGATCTAACGTTTAGTTTACCTTATTTAACGCCGGACAAACACGTCAAAGTGTTGACAAACATTTTCAGACACACGCCATAGGCAAAGCAGACTATTTTAATTACACAAAAAGACGGGTTGACAGCTATACCCATCGGCTGCCATACAGCTGATGAATTATTAAATCTATTTCATAAGACAGGCACATGTTGGGAAGCGTTACGTAAACCATGCATATGCATGATTTCTCTAAACTTGTTTTTCGTCTCAATACAGTGCTGTATGCTTGAGTGTCTTTGACTAAATTACACTGATCTCGAAAGCCACGTGTGATTGAGAGCCAGGTTGCTGCGGGGCCGTAAAACTGGGGAGACAAAGGCGGCCAGGCACGACATGCCACGCGTGGTGGTGGTACACAGTAAGTTGTGGGCAGAAGTAGGAAGAGCAGCAGCAGCCTATTTCAGGATCTGTATTTATACCGGAGGAATCCGATTGAGCAATAAAGCCCTTTCTCACAGATGTCCAGTAAGGGCGGATCAGAAAGTTACCACAGACAATCATACGAGAGGCACGCCACGCTTATATGCTCCCACGTCTGTGGCTTCTCGTCTCTCACCGATCAGCGTGGTGAAGAATGGTCAAGTAACTCGCGCGGTCATATTCTTAGGTGTTTTCGGTAAAGTCACGTAGGTAAAACATTAAAATTAATAACAGTAAAATAAAATAAAAATCACGACGTTTCGGAGGCAACACAAGTCTCCGTCATCAGGTGGGACCGTCACAGCCATGACGGAGACTTGTGTTGCCTCCGAAACGTCGTGATTTTTATTTTATTTTACTTTTATTAATTTTAATGTTTCACCTACGTGACTTTACCGAAAACACCTAAGAATATGAATCCTTGCAGTCACGAAAGCTTCAAATCTAGAATTCGCGCGGTCATATTCGATTTGATCGTGAATCGGATGATCGAGTGCTGAGTGGATGCTACTTGTTCACGAAACCGGAGCCTTAGGAGGACGTTCGTGATATCTGCTGTAGGCGTTGTAAGACGCGGCTGTGTGGCCCATTGGAATCAACATCGCCGTGGCAGGGTTCTGAGTCAGCGGGTTTGGGGCCGTCCATAAATGACGTCACGCGATTTTGTACGATTTTTTACCCCCCCCCCCCTTCGTCACACGACGTCACAAAAACTTAGACACCCCCCCCTGAAATATGACGTCACAAAGCTTTGCCCCCCCCCCCCCCCCAAAATATAAAAAACATGCATCAAATCGCTTTAAACTATTGTAATTGTAGTGCGTATTTAATGTGGCGCTGCACTCTGTAGGAGAAAACATTTATTACAAAGTATATTTAATTAAGTGGAACGTGTTGTCTATATTTATTTAAAGTTTCGTATTTTGATGTGACGTCACATTTCTCACCCCCCCCCCCCTCGTCACACACCGTCACCAATGTCTGACCCCCCCCCCCGCCTCCCCAGGTGCGTGACGTCATTTATGGACGGCCCCTTTATAGCTAAGGACTGGTTTGAATTTGATGATACGAAGTAATTTTATTTCGGGAAAATCTTACAGAGTCTCTAAAAGACAGGGTATCCGCAGGGTCCAGTACTATGAGGGTTTGGCCAATTTCAAAATTTCATTATTGTTTCCCACCGATAGAGCGTGGTCGTTTTGAGGGAGTGCTCTTACCCAACAACATCTGGTAAACCACTAACGGTAAACCACTAACGGTACACCTACTAACGGTAAACCACTAACGGTTTAGCAGGCCTGATGACTGCCGATGAGACCCGGCAAGTTGAAACCAGCTCATGAGGCACATATATCAGTTGGACTAAAATGTAACGTCTTCTTGGTTCTTTCGGTAAAGTCACGTAGAATGGAAATAATAAAATCATAAAAATAAAACATAATAAAATCATTCTCACGACGTTTCGGCCACAACGCAAGCAGCCGTCCTGAGGTCTGTCAAGAAACGTCGTGAGAATAATTTTATTATGTTTTATTTTTATTATTTTATTATTTCCATTCTACGTGACTTTACCAAAAGAACCAAGATGAATCCCTGCAGTCACGAAAGCTTTAAATCGAAAAAAAAGATGATGATGTTGATGATGTAGATGATGATGTTGAAGATGATGTTAATGATGATGATGATGTAGATGATGATGATGTTGATGATGTTGATGATGATGTTGATGATGTTGATGATGATGTTGATGATGTTGATGATGATGATGTGAATGACTCTGTCTTTCCGACAGACCTGTTCTTCACCTGAGGACGGCTGCTTGCGTTGTGGCCGAAACGTCGTGAGAATTATTTTAGTATGTTTTATTTTATTTATTTTATTATTTCCATTCTATGTGACTTTACCGAAAGAACCAAGAAGATGAATCCCTGCAGTCACGAAAGCTTTAAATCGAAATTTTAAATGTAACGTTGAGGTGGTGATACTGACCCTCCCATCCTGGACATCTGTGCGAAAGGGCTTCAGAGACTATGTAGATGATTGTCCTGCTATGAATGTCCAAATGATGATGAGCTGTGGGGGTCGCTAGCCCCCGAGATCCCTCCCGCCTGCATCCCCTATTCGTTTACGTTACCCCACCTCCCTATTACCCGCTACGGTTTCGCCGGCATTCGAACGCGACACCCCTACCATTTACAGCCTCGCGCCGCGCTCCCACGCTGCGAGCATACGTGCGCACATCATCGTCAATCAAACGCCGTGCTCGCAGTATAGCCCTGTGCGGCACGTTACCAATGCGCATCCGTATTATACCCGTAGTGAACGTGCGCGCATACACGCATACAGCTCCACACGCGATACGCACTCTTGCGCCGCTCTGCGCAGCGCTCGCCGCCTGCTGGCCGCTTACGTTATGAGCGCGCACCTGGGGGACGCCGATTACGCACGCACGCCCACACACACGCCGCTCCGCGCACTCCAACTCAACTCACGTTATACTCGCGCGCCTGTATCACACACGGAGTGAACACACGTGACACCCACTCTCGCACCGCTCTGCGCCGCGCTCCCCCGAGGCGAGCCGCAGCACCACAGAATCACTGCGTACCCACGCGCAACCCGCGCGCTCAGCTCCGCGCAGCGCTCACTCACGTGGCGAACCACTGTGCACACAGCGCACCCACACGCTCACACTGCACGACAAGATCACGCGAGACCACGCTTCGCTATTAATGATTTATTACCTGATAACTAATGTTGAATTAGTGAGTCGACGAGGCTGGCCTATTCCACTAAACCGGCACCTATTCCCTATTTATCGGCTATGATTCTAATTCACCTTCTTACTCACTGTTAAGTGTCCACGGCGGTCCGCTGATCCTTGTGTTAACCGCGTGCCTCGGTGCGTCGCACGGACGTCCGGGTCGCTGGCTCGAGCTGCGTCTGGTCGCCTGGCGCTGGAGTAAGAGAGCGATTTCCCCTCTGCGCTCCTCTATTTATCCTCCCTACCTCCAAAGGGGATGCTGCGCTGAACAATGGGCTCGTGCACCCCAAGCCCGCGCACGGCAGTCCCCAGGCGCTGTTGATATGCTAATCAGTGTGCTGCGTGCAAGGCGTAAATCCTAATTAATCCCTTACCCTCCCTAACAATGGGGCCTGCGCGCTCAAGCGCAATTATCCCAACCCTCCATGACTATGCGCAACAGCCCCTGTGACCCCGCTATTCATGCTGTCTCGTGCCTCCCGTGCTTGCCCCGTCGACTCGTGGGGGTGTGTGTGGGGGGAAATGCGCCTCAACCGCGGTGGCCGAATGCCCCACGCCGCGACCACACCATATTAAGGCCGGCAGCAGCGCCGCGGTACCACGTAGCACGGGGGAGGTCATCCAATTCCCTGATCGCCGGAAACCGTGAGAATTAATCCCGATAAGGGTCTCTCGGATAAAAACCGGTCGATCAGGTAACCTTCCCTTCCAGCTCTATGGGGGGGGGGGGGATGCGTGCGGGTGTGTGCTTATGTGGGGCGGGTGATGGGGGGCAGTGCGGTGGGGGAAGCCGGGCGGCTCCCTGGCTCGGCAGAGCGGCCCCGTCGCTGTGGCACCACATAGCCCCCCGGGGTGCCAGTCCCCGTCCCGGGTTGACTTGAGCACCTCGCCTGCGTTGCCCCCACGAGGTATCGCCGCGGGGTCCGCGGGATTCGCCCGGCCCTTGTGGCTGGCCTCGGGGGTGGCGGCTCCGTCTCCTGGGGCTCCGGCGGTGGTCTCCTCCTCCATTCCAACGGCTCCCCTCGGCCCCTGGCACCTGCGGGCTGGGGAACAAACTCAGAGGCGGTGGGGTTTAAGGGTCGCCGTCCTCGTCGCCCCCGGCCCCGCCCGGGGCCCCTCGGAGCCCTGGGCTCCGTGGGGCCCATATACTGCGCGAGGCCCCCGGGCACGGGGGATGCGGGTACTCCGGGATTTCGGGGCCTTCGGGTGACGGGGTTCTCTCTCGCCGGGGCCGCTTTCCACGGTTTTAAGCGGCGGACATTGACCACCGTCTCTCGACCCCTCTCCCCGCCATCAATTAGTACCGTCCAGGGGGAGATCTGTCGCACCACGGTCCAGGGTCCCCGCCAGTAGGTCGTCAGTTTCCCCACCTGCCCGGCCCCGACGCGAGGGGTGTGTAGCCACACCTTAGCACCTGTCAGGAATAAGGGGGGTTCCATGCGGGGTCGGGTGCCCTGTTCCTGCCGCCGATGCGCGGCTTCCCCTTGCGGGTATGCTCGGCCTCGGGCTTCTCGTAGGGTCTCCAACAGGTGTTCCACGGGGCGGCTTCCCTCCTCCGGCTGGGGGGAAGGGACGCCGAATAGCAGATCTGCGGGTAAACGAGACTCACGGCCGAACATCATTAAAAACGGGGTTTGTCCCGTCGACGTGTGTACGGTGGTGGCGTAGGCGAAAAGGGCGTAGGGGAGGTGTTCATCCCAATCCCGTTGATTTGCGGCCGCCATACGTTTGAGTTTCCCCGATAAGGTCTGATTCATGCGCTCCACCATCCCGTTCGCCTGGGGGTGGTACGCTGTGGTTCGGTCCTTCTGGATTCCGAACTCTCGGCACAGTGCCTGGAACAACTCGGCCTCGAACTCGCTACCCTGGTCGGTGAGGACTCATTCTGGGATCCCGTGCTTAAGTACGTAGTGTTCCACAAATGCCCGGGCCACCACCAAGGCCGTTTTATCAGGGATGGCCACTGCCACGGGGTAGCGGGTGAAATACTCTACTGCGACTAGGATATATCGGTTGCCTCGATGGGATCGCGGGAATGGCCCCTGTAGGTCGATCCCGACCAGCTGATTCGTGCGGCTGACGCGGAACGGCCTTAGGGGTACCTGGTATCGTGCCGGTTTCGGCCCGCACTGCTGACAGGCGCGGCAGCCCTGTACCCAGGCCGCCACGTCTTGTGCCAATTTGGGCCAGAGATACTGGCGACGCAGGGTCTCTCGAGTACGTCGTTCCCCATCGTGGCCCCCGAGTGGGTGGTCATGCACCAGCCGTAGCAGCCGGGGTCGCACCTGGGCAGGAACACAGATGCACCCCGGCTGGCCGGCCTCGGTTAACTCCCGTACCACTCCGTTCTGCACACACAACCGGGCATACAAACCGCTCCAGGGTCCTGGTAGGGCGCTCTTTTCCTCCCGCAGTGCCGCCTCCACTGCCGCCAGATCCGGATCTCGCTGCTGGGTCTGTCTCAGCTGCTCGTCGTTTAGGCCCGGGAAGGCGCAGCCGACGTCCTCCTGGATCCGTCCAATCGGGTCCCGAGCCGCGGGTCCCGCGCTTGCCGGGCGGTCGACGGGATCCTCAGTGCCACCTGTGAGGGTTTCCGTGGCGCACACTGCACTCTCTCTCGCTGGGGGGGGGTCAGTGGCCGCAGCCTCTCGGGGGTCCGTTGCCTGCCGGCAGCGTCCCCCCGTGAAACACGGGCAGGCCTCCTCCGCCCTCGTCTCGGCGTACACCGTGGGTCGCCTCGACAAGGCGTCCGCGTTTGCATGCGTCCGGCCAGCCCGATACTCGATTTGCAGGTTGTACTCCTGCAACTGCGCCAACCACCGGGCCATCTGCCCCCGCGGCTCCTTGAATGTAAGAAGAAACTGCAGAGCATAATGGTCAGTGCGGACGCGACATCTCCTGCCGTACAAATACGGCCGGAACTGTTTGCATGCGAAAATCACGGCGTACAACTCTTGGCGGGTCACGCAATAGTTCAGCTCGGCCCCACTCAAGGTCCGGCTGGCGTACGCGATGACTCGTTCCGTTCCATCCTGTACCTGTGACAACACCGCGCCCAGCCCGCTGCTGCAGGCGTCGGTGTCCAAAATAAAATCGGTGGTAAAATCGGGGAAAGCGAGGGTGGGGGCGTGGGTGAGGTGATCTTTGAGAGTGGTGAAGGCCGTCTGGCAGGCCCCCGTCCACTGGTAGGGGTGCTTAGGGGAGGTGAGTTGGGTGAGAGGGCGTGCAATCTCGCTGAAACCCTTTACAAACCGACGATAATAGGTGGCGAGCCCCAAAAATGATCTGATCTCCGTCAGATTCCTTGGCCGTGGCCACTCCACTACGGCGCGTACCTTCTCCGGATCGGTGCGCACGCCTGCCTCGCTGACGCGATGCCCGAGGTACCCCACCTCGCGTTGTGCGATGTAACACTTACGTGGCTTGAGCTTGAGATGAGCCGCTCGCAGTCGCTGGAACACCTCGCGAAGCCTGGACCAATGCTCAGACAAAGATCTACTGAACACTATCACATCGTCCAAGTAAATCAGGCACTGTTCCCACTGCAAGCCCCGCATCACCAACTCCATCAACCGCTGGAACGTCGCGGGCGCGTTAGTGAGTCCGAACTGGCAACACTCGAAACTCAAACAGGCCCATCGGGGTGGTGAATGCGGTTTTCGGCCGATCCTCCTCCGCCATCTCCACCTGCCAGTACCCGGACGCGAGATCGAGGGTGGAAAAATATCGCGCTCCGGCGAGGCTGTCGAAGGTGTCGTCGATGCGGGGTATGGGGAAGGCATCGCCGAGCGTGACTGCATTTAGTTTACGGTAATCGACGCAGAACCGGGTTGACCCATCCTTTTTCGTTACTAGTACCACTGGGGCTGACCAGGGGCTCGCCGAGGGCTGAATTATGTTATCGCGAAGCATGTCCCCAACTGCCTCTTTGATTTGGGCGCGTTCGGGTGCGCCCACTCGGTACGCAGGGAGTTTGATGGGTCGGGCTGCACCGGTGTCAATTTGGTGCTTAACAAGATCGGTCCGACCCACGTCCGAGTCGTGTTCACTGAATACGTCGGCATACTCCCGCAGTAACTCGCGCAGCCGATCGCCCTCTCCCTTAGGTAAATCCGCCCATGGTACATGTAACGCGTCGAGCAGGGGAACGACCTCGGCTCGGGGAGTCGGGCCGACTCGCCAGGCCAGGTCCTGCTCACCCTCAGGACGACCGGGGTCCTCAGCCCAGAGTGCGAACACCGAGTCGTTAGAGTGGCGTGCGTGCAGGGGGTGTACTGTGGCTATCGGGGTGCGCCGTCGCAGTATCGCTGGGGTATTGTGGGGGTTAAACATCCGCATAAACAATCGATCCCCATCTGCGTTTACCAACGTGGCGGATCCCACAACCCCATACCGTTTTGCCAACTCCGGGTGAGGAGTTAGCATTACCTCCCCTGATGGTCGGAGCGCGGGGTCGGTGGGGGATGTTGCCACCGGCACCAGCATCTCG